TTTTTTTAAACACGATAAATGGTCGCCATCTTTAAAACGCAGCAGCACGCTGCTGAGGCAACGCTGCCGCCAGAGAATAACGACAGACGCCATTTTCTTACTTCTCCTGGGTTGCAGCAGCATTTTATTCTGATAAGAAACGTGTCTTACATCAGGTCACTGCACAGGACATCATCCAACACACAACAGACACACACAAACAGGAGTGAGGGTTGTCACGGAAACGGCGTGGAGCAGAAATTAGTAACTGTGCTCAGATATAAGCTAACAGGGTTAAAGAGGAGGCGGCGTGCTTTGCTTATCTGGAGTTTGACCTGCAGCATCTGAACGACCTTAAACCACCTCGAACGCTCACGCTATTGGTGGAAACGGGGGTGTAACCATGACGACGGGTGGACAGCGCAGAAAAATCCACTTGGACTGAATTTGTAGATCAAAGAGCCTCAGGTGTTCTGCTTTTCAGAATAAAAGCATGGCAGCTGAAGCGTGGAAGTTTCCAAAATAAAACCCACTTTGTCACGGCTGAGGTAACATGAATCAGATCAGGAGCTCGCGACACGTTTCAGACTTCAAAAAGAAACAGGAAACAGAAAAAAAACGTGCAAACATTTAAAACTTTTAAAAGAGGAATTTTTAAAACGCAGATGAAAAACAGTGAAGAGGCGTTCACACGAATCCTGTCAGAAATCAATAAATACGCAGCTCAGTTTCAGCTATGATTGTCTCACAGAACCACACGATCGATCGTCAGTTCAGATTCGATCGGTTCTTGCTTCTGGTTGGTTCCCGTGATGACGAGAGTAATCTGATTCCTCGCCGTCTTTGTAACAGTCATGAAGGTCAGGGAGTGACACGGGTGACGGAGCGTTTCTCGGTCTGTAGTGTCTGGCTCATCGGAAGAACAAGGAACGCTGAAACGGACGGGCGTCGGTTTAGAGTTTACCATTTAGAGCTTGTGTTAGCGACCTCGGGCCAAACTCCATTCAAAATTTGTCACATTTAGCGCTCCTTCGTTCCACTCGCTGGTTTAATCGGCAGAACCGTCGATGGAACAGAATTAAATCAATCAGATTTTCTGCTTTTAAGTCAAAGCTCACGAGATTTCAAACATTCTGGATCCAAAAAAACCCCAAAAACTTTATTCGTCTTTAAACGAACCTCTTGTGCAGCGTTCTTTGTTCTCGAGAAGCTTTAGCTCTCAGGCTGAACACCTGGACAGGTACGGACGTCTGAACGTCAGCGTGATTCTCGTTAAAGGAGAAACGAGTCAAACACACACACACACACACACACACACGCACACACACACGCTGTAGAGAAAAATAAGCGTGTTGGATCACATGTGCAGTCACACTCTGCGCCTGCAGGCAGGAAGCAGAGGAGGAAGACGGCTGAGATGGAGGAGGAAGGTCGGTCGTCAGTCGGTCTCGTTGAGGCTGCAGCGCCGCCTGAACTCCTGCCCTCGCTCGTGGATCCATTTGTTCGATACTGCAGGAAGAAAGAGTTTCATCAGAGCCTCGACAAACGGCACGAGTCTGAGCAGCGTGAAGGTTTCTCCGTCTTTACTCGTTTCTGTTTCTCATCAAATCTGAAGCTTTTCATGAAGCTCAGTCAAGTTTGTTTCATCTGAAACCATCAAACACCAAAAATCCCTCCAGCAGTAACGTGAACTGCTGCAAACACACCCAGAAAACATCAAATATTCATCAATAAACACAAACATTTAAAATAAATCAACTCGAACATAATAACAAAGTTTTTAAATGACCCAAAATAGTTTTATATAACTGACAGGAAGTTTGGATTTATTCAAAATTGGCGATTTCTTCTTTTATTTTACTTATTTTTAGAAAATCATTTTTAAAAGAAATTTTTTTTTGTCAATCATCACCAGGCGTGAAAATCTGAAAGTATTTTTACTTTATGATGATTTTGTGTGTATTTATTTTTTACTGTGCACGTGAGTGAATATGGCGCGATGACCTCACCCCACTTGTTTCCCAGCAGCACGGGGCAGGCGGCGTGTCGGGTCCGATAGTCTCCTTCTCCGCTTGGATACAGGTTGTACCAGAACACCGCCGTCCCCTGGAGAAACACGGTCACATGACGTGTCACATGACAGCGCATCAGATTACCTTGTCTGTTTCTGTGATG